GAGCCAGTTCATGCACTAGAGGTAAATCATGGTCCCACGCCAGTGGTTCTATAAACAGTCACCCACATTCAGAGAGCCTAGTTCAGGTCTATACAGGTTCCCCAGCTGTCAGTCCAGGGTCAGTGAGCTCCCACTAGCAAATGTCAGCTGTTTCTGTGGATTTCTTTGTTATCACTCCTCCGTCTCTTCTACTGGACTGTAGGAACTCAGCCCAGTTATGCTAAGATTTTAACAATGATTATCAGTTGTGTAAATTATATATGACTTCATTACTTTTTAAAGTATTTTTCCATTTTTCTGCAAAGCCATAAATTGATTATAAGAATTTAGAAACATTAACTTTCTTCCCTCCTTACCTCTTACGATGTGGATTGAACCCAAAGCCTTGTACATCCTAGATAAACACGCTATAGTGTACATCCCTACCCAAGATAAACTTTCCTTTTATTGGTGACCTTATGTCTCCAGTAAGAGCATTCTCCATCTTTTTTTTTTTTTTTGTGGTTTTTCGAGACAGGGTTTCTCTGTATTGTTTTTGGAGCCTGTCCTAGAACTCGCTCAGTAGATCTCGAACTCACAGGAGGCCTCTGCCTCCTGAGTACTGGGATTAAAGGCGTGTGCTACCACCACCCGGCACTTGTTATATGAGTTTTACCTTAATAAACATTCCTTTTTAAAATTTTACTAGAACTAATGACTGAGTTTAGCAGGGCTACGGGATACAATAGGGGTCAACAAACTAACTTTCCTGCAAATGTAAAACCAAGTCATTATAACAGAGACCTGCAAAGTCAAAAATATTGCCATCTTTACCGATTCCTAGAGTATCAGATCAATATAAAAATCAATTATTTATCTGTGCTATGGTAATCAAGGTATAGTAATACTGGCAATAAACATGTAAATTATTTTTAAGTTGACAAAATAGTTATCTGAACTGAACAGAGAGCTCTGCATTGGACCCATATAAATACAGTCGGCTGATGTTTGATGAAGGAGCGAAGGCTACACAGCAAAGGACAGACTTCACCAGATGATGTGGGAAATTATGAGGCATCGCATGCAAAAGATGAATCTAGACACAAACTTTTCATTTTGGTCAATATAAACTCAAAATGGATCACAGACCTAAATGAGAAATACAAATTACAAAACTCCTAAAAGACACAGGATAGCCTATGTGATATGATGCCCAATGCATTGTCCATGAAAGAGAATAAATTTATCCTGTGCAAGAGACAACCTGAAGAGGCAAGCCATGTACTGGAGGAAAATATGCACAAGAGACATTCCCATCCTCCATCTTATACAAGCTCTATGATAGTGGTGTGAAGACCAGAAAGGGTCTGCTGCATCTCTATTAGGATTGGAACCTGCTCAGATAGCACTGTTCCCAGAGTCGCCAGCGTGTCCTGGCTGGTACATCACACATTCCATCATTCAAGTGAGTCACCACAGAATGGTGTCGAGCTGATGACACTACTGCACACTGTACTTGAACTATCAGCCACAATCTCACACGCTGCCAGGCTTATCTTCCTAAACCGTTATTCTCCACTGTGCAGAATGTCCGAGGAAATGCCTGGGCTGACAAGCCCTTGTGAGGACACCATGGGCCAGCACTCTACAGCTGATTCGAGCCTTCCAATTGCAGACAACCCAGCCCAGCAAGGGTTCCTTCCATACTAAAGTTAAAGCTGTTATTGCTGCAGTTGGGCCCCGATGAAGGCTTTGGCAGAGCTCCAGGAATATTTAGGGTGAAAAATATGCTGGGGTGTTCAGCTGGGAAATACCCAGCTGGGCTGAGGGTTGTAAGAAATCTTTAAGGGTCATCTGCTAAAACTGGAGTTAGAAAGTTATTTCCTCCTGTTTTTAAACTTGATTGTTTGTTTTGTTTGGCGTTGATAGTGGGAAAGGGATTGAGAGCTTCTTATTGGAGGTTTTAGGGCTGAAGTGAAACTGACCCATGTTTGTTGGCCTGATTTGTTTGGGATTGTTATGGTGTGAGGGTTTTTGTTTGTTGCTATCTCTTGTCATTTTGAGCAGTAACTGGTACCCAGTCAGTGCTGTAGTGAAAAGGACATGGATGATTGTGCACACGTGGACTATCGCTGCCATCCCTGCATAGCTTAAGTCCCTCTTGTCTGTTGTACAAATACCATCAAAACTAAAAGAGAGTCTCATTGTCTCTTAGATGATCGCTTCTATGTATACACCCTTCTGTTATAAAATGTTCTTCAGTATATAAAATAAAACAATGTGGACTGTAGTTGTTGATAGAGACATTTATGATGTGTCTCTGAAGTACAAATAAAAGGCCTAATAGCTTTAGTAGTTGAAAACATCATACAAAATACTGTGGAGTATGCAATTTATTATTTCATGAATGCCAACACAGTAGTAATAGACTTTAAACTGTGGTCATTTCATAGCAAATAAATGTTACTGCTGTGACTGAAACAAACAAATAAAATGCCATTAGACATTAAAAAGTGCAGGTAATATTTATGGCGGTTGAAATGGTATGTTAAGAGTCACTTCTTACAACAGTTTTGAATGCCCTACATTCCAACCTCACACCCAGATAATTTCAGCCAACTTCTCCTGACCATGAACTGCTGAGGTGTCTGAGGTTGTAAAACGATATTCAGAACCCCATATTGTATTCCCAGACTATGCTTCTTGTACAGATGAGATAGGAAGCTAGGGTGTTTTTGCAGTATGGAAGTGATTTTAAACTATTTTGTAGATCCTTTTGAATTGTCCTGTGGTATTACCACATGAACAGACTAGGCCAGGCCTCTGAGCCCAAGTTGTTCTCCTGACCCTCCCCTTGTCTCACTTAGTTTTCTAGTTTGGGCTATGATTCAGGAGACCTTTCCAGGTGTTACTGACAGGCACGTTATGTAGTGGGACAGAGCGAGGACCGAGAAAGTGACCTCAGTTACCGGCACAAGTACTAAGGAAGACTGCACAGCATAGGCAATGTACAACTCTTCCTGGAACCAAAGTGAGAGTCCCCAGAAGTTGATGCTAAACTCATCTTACAGTCACTGACCTCCCACTAATGGTTCTTACTGTCTCCGTTACTCGTTTTCTTTTTAACCCATTACATCTTGTCAAATACAGTTTAAGCTCTTGAAAGCCAGAAACTTTGACAAATTGTTCTTACTGTCTTGCTCACTCTGGGTGCTCACCAATGGATCTTTGGTGGGTTGAGATCTACTCTTTGCATTTCAGTTCTTCCCATCTGCTCCCATCTTGTATGAATCCCATCTGCTCCAGGAGTCTACCAGACAGGACAATGGAGGCAGGACTGTGGAGTCTATTGGAATCCACTCTGTGTTGAGTCTTACTGAGTCTGCTGCTGTAATTCCATTCTCCCTTGCAAATGTAGGCATCTGAGGGAAACTCATCAGTGAGTAGAGAATCATTGATGCTATGCCTAGGCCTGTTAAGCTTTTCAGGGCCTAGAGGAGCAGAGGAAGGCCTGCTTTCCCAGAAACAGAACACTGGCAATGAGAGCCCAAGCTTCGGGTAGGGGCATTGAGTGAATCTTGAAGCCTTCCGTAGCCCAGGGTTTCACATCTTTGAAGTGGGAATCCAAGCAGCGCCTGTCTGTGGGCTTGTTAGGAAGCTTAATGAGAGGCCCTAGTTTACTCACCAGTTACTGCTTTGGTACCTACAGGAATTACAGAGACAGTCCAGCTACAGCAAAGGGAACAAGACGTCCTCCCTTGTGGGATACATATGCTAGAAATATAATGCTCATGATACTTAATAAATGTTTAGTCAGATTCACTGGAGGATATGAACTTCACAGAGTTTTCTCTGAATGCTGCCACAGGTCTTCATGTTACAGCATTTTGTAAACATGTACACACACACACACACACACACACACACACACACACACACCACATTCAATACCAGTATCAAGTCTGAATTGGCATAACCCTTGTGCAGTCCCTTACATAGGACATGGATGTATTCTTGTTCAATCCCTACCTGCAGCTGTTGACTGTATGTTTCACTCCCATAAAGAGCGTTGTTTGAACAGTTCAGCAGCCTGCTAAGATTCGGGGACTGAAGGTGGGTTGTATGGCTAACTAGTCTCCACATCTTCTCAACCATATGTTTCTGTGACATGATGTGATTTCACCTAGGTGCTAAGGTGTTTGTATAATCTGCTGAAATAAGTCAGATGGCCAATTAAAATCTACCAACCAGATTGTGGTAATTCCAACCTTCCCTCTCCAAACCTTTGGTAAGCTGCCTGTCAAAGAGTAAAACGAACAAATTTGTGGTTTTGCTCCTTTTGAAAAACTGTTTTCACTGAGGCTGTTCTTTGAAAATCCAATTCTACAAGAGAAGGAACAGGCCTGACTGCATGCCCCCAGGGAACTGCACACAGCCATAAGAGCTGTCTCTGAAAGGTGTGTGTCCATCCTGCCTCTGTCCCCTAGCGTGTTCCTAATGCATACTCGGATCTCCAGTGGCACACAGCCCGTGTAGTTAAAAATGTAAACAGGAAATTGTTTTCTGGCTGAATGGCCTTTGTGGCCCAGAAAAATACTCATTTCTGCTGAGACGTAACTTTAAAAGCACGCAACAGTGAAGGCTAAAGGCTGGCTGAGAGTGAGCTCAGTGTGCAACAAAGAAGGCAAGAAAACAGAGATAAGGGTTCATGTATATGGATCCAGTGCATGTTCACCAGTAACCAGTGGTACAGTAGATAATGGAGAAGCTTGGCTCACCTAGAAAGCAGTTGTGAGTTGGGGCAAAGGGGCATGTTTGTACATCAAGTCATCAGGGAAAACGCATTCCTTGGAAGATGCAAAGGACTGACCTGAGCACGGAGACTTGGCAGCATGCCTCTGGACTCTGGTGCTCCTGTGTTCTGCTGCAGCAACCTGTCATTTGACCTCCCATGAACCTCCCGTGCTCCCATTGTGGTTCCCCTATGTGCTGATGAGTTTTTTGATTGTTATGTCTTGCAGCCCCCCGAATCCAAGCCCAACTTCACCCCTCTCGCCATCATGGCCCATGTTCTCGGCGCCATCCAGCCCTATGCCCACCTCATCCACGTCCAGCGACTCATCCCCCGTCAGGTCTGTTGCAGGGTTGGTTTGATTTTTTGTTGCTATTGTTCTCTCATTGGCTTGGTCCTCTCTTCATGCAGTGTTCAGCCTCCTCGTCAACTTTGTTCCCTGCCATCCAAACCTGCACTTGCTTTTTGACAGGCCAGAAGAAGCGGTCCATGAAGACTCCAGGTAAAACCACGGATGGTGACTGACCTGTTCCCGTTCATGCAGAGCTGTTCAGGGACATTAGGGGCCTCCTCTGCTCTCATGTGATTCCATCCTCAGAAACCAAGCCAAGAGGCGCAGTCTGCATGGCCTTGCATGGCAATTTGAATACCCTTTCTAACCCTTACACGCATTTCTGAGTTAATCTCTGGTGCTTGGATTTGGGGAGTGGTGATCTCCAAAAACAGCACTGCTGTGTTGAATTGTTTTCTGAATCATTTGAGCTCTCCATGTTTTGGTTGAAAATAACATCCTAGGGAGCAGTGTTGAGACACACACTGTGTGTCACATGATTGTCAGGTAACATCTGGTAACCCTTGCTTGTGGGTTGAGCCAATAGCCCTGAGCACTGACACCAAGTCACAGACCAAATCCAGTGAGTGAGAGAAGAACACAACTTGTAGCAAAAGACTGAGACCCAGAACACTTGCTCTCTCAACTGCGTAGGGCTTCTGCCTCCCTGTCCTCCACCGTGTTCTCCAGGAATCCTCTGGCCTCCCTGCCCGGTCTGTCCCTGGAGGTCGTGAACCCTGAGTGCTCATGGGAACAGGCACCACCTCTTTTCTGAGGGGGAGGGGCTTAACCAAGTTCTTCTCCCAGAGGACCGTGCTTCAGTCCTGTCTGGGAGAGCTCCACAGCTAAGTGTCATGGGTTTGCTCTTGAGCTCTTTGTAGAAAAGAAGCTCTTCGAATCCACAGAAGGATGGAGTAAAGCTCCTACAGTCCTTTGCTGTTTGGGCCCTCACTGGGCAGCTCTCCTGCCTTCAGCAAGCCAAAGCCCAGGGTCCAGCGAGAGGCATCATAAGCATTCTTGATCTGGGTGGGAATTTGCATACTGCCTTTTCTCCGTTAAGAGTGGGTCCATCGTTGAGAGAATACGTGCTGTCTGCACATATGGGCACAAGACTTTATTCCCTTTGGGCCTTTTCACATCTGTTGTGTCATTCTATATTCATGTGAGAACAAGAAGAGAGGTGGCCTGAACCACTTTGTGGAAAAGGAAAATGGTCACTTCATTAAGTGAGAGTCAGGGCAGAGTTAGGAGTTCCTGCCATCTGCCCAGCATTTTTATTCTAAAGACCTGGCCAGCCTGGTTGTTTCCGTGCCATCTCAGCCCTCGGCTCCACATGGCTTCCTACCTCACCTGGTTCTGGATGATGGGAACAGTGGCAATGGCTCATTTCCTTACTAAATGGTATCAGGCATTAGGGGATTGGGGCTAGCCTACAAGCAAGCAAGTTGTTACTCGGTACTGCCCCCTCTGGCATCTGAGGGCACCATTATGATGATGTCCCACTATCCTTTAGGAATGTGTCATTTTGAAATAGGCAAGCCATAGTAGGGCTTGAAATTGGATGTCACTGAGTTACATGTTTATGCTAGGATAAGCACAGATCGGAACCATGCTGGAAAGGTAGCCCACTAGGAGACCAGGGGTGGGTTATAATCTCTAGTTGCTTTTGCATCATATAACTAAGAGGTGGGGCATACATCCATTGTTCAGGTCTAGTGTCACCTTTCCCTGAACTGACTAACAGAACATAAACCTTCAAATTTCTTTCCTTTGGTAAGGCTTTTAACAACAAATTCTGAATGGGGCCTAATTAGGGGTCCCAGAAACCTCTGGAGATGGCGTCCTCTCTCCAGTTAGACTACCTTTTGACCTTCTTGACTCAAGCTCAGAAGAGATGGGGCACTGGAGGAAGCCCCCCTTAACATGTGCCCTTGTTTTTCTATTTGCCCATCCACAAGATGCCCCACATGGAACTCCTTATTTGCATTTGCTCTTAGGCCCTGGGGAGCTGCCTTAATGATCAAGCCACCGCAAGCTGGCCCCTCCTCCAGTAGCATGCACCATAGAGAGTGGGTTGTGATTCTGCAAAGCTTGCAAGGGCATTTGAGGGAAATTCCTCTGAGTGTTTTCCTGGCCTCGTTCCACGCTCAGAGGCAAAAATTAAAAGTGAACCAGCAGAAGGTTCCAAAGTTGCTCATGCCCTTGAAGGGCCAGCTGAGAGCTAAAGAATGCTGTGATGGGAACTGCTAAAACCTCCCCAACCTGTGTCCAGTTGCAGAGTAGGGAGCCAGACAACCAATCATATGGCTTCAAGCGGAGTCAAAGCTTCTCAACCCCAACTTTAGCTAACAGGAGCTATCTGTTTTGGTAGGAACCCTTTACCTAAGCAAACCCCTTGGGAACTTTCAGAAGGAGCAGTTGTATACTAGGCTTACAGTGATGGCAGACTTTTAGCAAGACATAACTTCGCCAGTTAGAGTTGCCAGATATGCAAACCAAATAAAAATGTAACCTACTCAGTTAGATTTGAATTAAAGATATAAAAAATACATTTCTTAGTGTATGTGTATCTTATGGAGGTACACTTTAGAATATGTATTATTCATTTGAAATTCAGATCTGACTAGATGTCCTTTACTTTCTCTAGTGACCTTACTCTGAGGTATGGGAGCAGCCCCCCTTTAAAAGCATGCCCTATACGGTTAGAGAAGCAGATTGGTGCTTGTTTACAATATCCATGGCACCCTGCAGTTGATCCCAGCACTACAACTGTGTGTGTGTGTGTGTGTGTGTGTGTGTGTGTGTGTAGAGAGAGAGAGAGAGAGAGAGAGAGAGAGAGAGAGAGAGAGAGACCTGCTCCCTTCTCACAGTGCCCACCCGCGCTGCTCTGTCCTCAGAGGCAGGCCTGCCTCAGCCTGGCCTCACTCTTGCATCCTGTGGCCTGGATTCTCCTGCCCTGCATTCATGCAAGCTCTACAGGCTTGACAGTATAATGCTTGACTACTTCACCCCTTTCACAGCTGTCCTCCACCCCATGGTCAGGGAAGGAGGTGAGGAGAGGTGTAAACTTTGTCTACCATGAAGAACTGCCCATTGACTGCTGGGCCCTTGCTAACCAACATGAAAGTCTATCAGTTAATGAGATTAGACCAAAAGAGCTGCTTTCCAACTGATGAAAGCCAAAGGCTTTTCTCTTCATCCCCAGAGTCCCTGTCTTCTTTTCTTCCCCTTTTCCAGTTCTCCCCTTCCCAGCATCAGCCCTTGGCTGTAAGAACACCAGAGAGAGCTACCATAAACTGTCATTCCCCTGGCAAGAGTCTAGATAACCAGCAATTCTGCTCACCGTACTGCACAATACACTCGTGCAATTGTCTCTTTCCTTTTCCACGGACCCACTCTCAGCTCCTATCACCCACCATTCATCCTTCCCAAAAAGAATGCACTTGGTATCCCTAAGCAGGATCAGTTTCAGAAGGCCCAGGGCACTCCAGCTCATCTGAGACCAGACCCCTCTCCAGCCACTAGAAATCAATGCACCCCAAGAGCTGGGGCATTATCAGCTCTAGGAGGCACTCAGATTGTCAAGTGAAGATCAATTCAATGACATACATCTCTTGGCTGATTTCTTACTCCAGAGGCCCTCTGGCTTTTTAAAACTTGTGCCTCTGAATTCCAGAGTGCACTCCCTCAGATGACTTGGAGTAGAAAGTCACTTGTGGCAAATAAAGAACAACCTTTTGACAGACGTCATTTTGACCCGTGAAAAATCTACCGAGTGCAGAGAAGAGTGTGGTGCCAAAGTCAAACTTGACAGCAAAGAGTAAAATTACCCTGCTCACAAATGACTGTGAAGACACAGGCTTGCACCTTATGAGCTGTGATGGTCACAGGCATGTGGACAGAAGGTTCGAGAAACTCCGTCATCACAGACTCCGCCCCTGTGTTCTGGTAGATAACTTTTTTACGGAAACTCCACCTCACTGTTTTGTTTATCTGTTGTCCCTGGCTGCTGTGTGCCGCAGTGCAGCATTTACAGCAGAGACCGTGCGCCTTCAAGAGCCTAAAGACTGGCCCTGTTACCACAAACAATGTGCCAGTCTCGACTCTGCCTGCCTGCGTGTGATCATCACTTAGAAGGTGACACACAGTCACTTCGGTTTTGATTCTAATTCTTACAGTTCTGTTTGCAACTTGGCAGGACATGTAAATGCTCCCAATGACATTCTGATAACACAGAGGGAGAGATCATTGTCAATATTCATTGAACAAGAGAACCCAAAACAGAGCACAAACCCCACCTTTGTCCCTTCCTTCCCTGCCCCCACCCCTTGCGAACTCCCACGCTGGCACACTCGTGTGCTTACACACCACCTCACCCTCCTCCTCCATCCTTGCCTGCCCTGGGGAGGAAGAGTCCCAGCTCTGGAATGCTGCCCCACCAGCAATGAAGAACATCTGAGGGAACTCATGGCCGCCCCTGCCTGGCCTGAGACCTGGCTCTTCTGGAGTTTCTCCTGGATTCACTGGGCTTTGGCAACTTGCAAGAACCACTGCTGGGACCACCCTGCCGAGCCCCGTGGCCCCTTCCCACCCCCAAGCACTCTGTCCCGAAAGCTGTTCTCTTCCCTCCCAATCCCAGCTGTTATAACTCCCAGGTAAAGTTTCTCTGGGGCACAGGGTGACCTTGGAGAACTGTGTGGCTTTTCAGAGTGTGGCCTTTCCCTGACTCTTTCTCAGTTCTCTCCTGTGGCCTTTGCGACGTCCCCACCTCCTGTTTTGCCATCTGGCTGCTCTTCCCAGGAGAGAGGACTAGGTGGCTTGCAAGGAGGGAAGAAGGAAGATGAACAGTCTGTGACTTTGAGGGTTGGAAACAATGTTAAATAAACTCCCTTTCCACACAGCACACCGTTCCGGAAGGCAAAGGCCTTGTATGCCTGCAAAGCTGAACACGACTCTGAGCTCTCCTTCACAGCAGGCACCGTCTTCGACAATGGTGAGTTTCCCATCACCTCACAAAAATGGAGGGAAGCAGAGGAGTGAAGCTCCTACCTGGGGCAAGGGGCTCTTTCCCCAAAATCAGACTTCTGGAGGCCTTACCTTGGGTAGACCCACATCAGAGAGATGTTTGGAATTCTGAGTGAGACGGCACCTGGCCTTGGTGTCTCACGTTTGTGAGCACGACCGTCAGAGACAACGGAGAGGGATACAGGGTGGTGGCAATTGTGCAGAGACACGGGACAATCTCATGGTCACCTGCTCTGTCATGTTTCCCCCCTGGGGTCTCAGCCTGCTTTGTTTTCAGCAGCAGGCAAGGCCCATTCCCCAGACAGCCAGGTAAACAGTAAACCTCCTCTTCCTGCTCCTCCCCCTTGAACTTGAGAGCACAGGCAGGACTCCCCCACGTGACATCACAGGGCAGCCAGGGCCTGCAGTGGCATCCTGCTGCAAGAATGAATTGTAGCACCCCGTAAAACTGAGGCTCTGGTGCACCATCACCCCTTTCTTTTCCGTCTTCCTCCCTATAACCCTGTTTTATTGTGAGAAGCGAAGCTGTGGTTTGGGCTAATTATTTACCTAAGAGAAAAATCTGGACCCCTGGGTAGACACCAAGTCTCTGTGATGGCTGTTTTCCTTGGGTGAAGTTCTGCTTCACGGTTAAAACAGTTAGTTCGGTTTGCTTCAAAGGAAGCCAAAAAGGCAACATCCTGTGTCCAGATATTTGTTCTGGCTACCCCTTGCCCCAGGTGTGGTGAGGGCAAAGGTCATACAAATCTGGCCAGACCCTCCTGCCCGGCCCTACACCCGCCTCTCCCCATGTGACTGAGGAGTGTAGGACAGCTGAGAGCTGAACCCTAGAGCCAGACCATGTGCCTGCCCCAGTCTGACACTTGCTCTGATGTGACCTCAAGCAGGGCCATCTCTTCTCTGTCACAGCAGATGACACACCTACCTTCCAGGGTGTGGCAAAGGGACGGCAAGCTAATATGTAGTGTGGGTGTAAAACAGCACTTAGGCAATGGGAGGCATTCAGTGTGCTGTCCTTAGGATTGTCAAGACCTTGTATCCATCTTAGAAAAAGACCGTGGCAATGTGACCTGTTACCAAGGATGGCCTTTCCTTTGTGGCTGACATGCCCTATCCTGACTGACTGTCAGCTAGCTGTAGGTGAACCATGCAGTCACACCCAGAGGGCCTGACACCAGGTGTGCCACGCCTGCTGCATTCTGACCACCTCTTAGTCAGGCATGAGTAGACACAGTAGGAAACAGCACACAGTGCACAGAGATTCCCAGACCTCCTGGGCCAAATTTGAAACTGCGTGTGTCCTGATGAGCCTGTGGTCCACCTCCATGCTTCTGAGTCCAAAGCTCTATACTGAAGCCTTGGCTCTGTTGACTCTCTTCTGGGCCCTGTACAAAGCTGAGCATGTGAAATAACTGCTGCTTGCAAGCCTAGCAGGCCAGCAGCATGCACGACGGGTCTGCCGAAGACAGCCCCAAACTGTGCCACGGTGAGTGTGCCCTACACAGACCAGCTGTAAAAACAAGGTGCAGTTTCCCCCACCACACAAATCGGAACGGGTGTCACACTGGGCAGCTGTACTCCTGCCATGGGTGAGCAGTATACTCAGAGTTATGCAAGTCTCACCACTATCTAATTACAGGATATCTCACACACACACACACACACACACACACACACACACACGCACACACACACGCGCGCACGCGCACGCGCGCACGCGCATGGTGAATCCCACACCCTTTAGCAATCATGATGCTTTACACCTAAACTTTGGATATTTCATACAAATAGAATCACATAATATGTGGTCTTTGTATTTTTTTCAATGATGTTTTTCAAAGATAATCCATGTTGTAACATGTATCTGCACTTTATTTCTTTTTATGGCCAGGTAGTATTTCATCATGTGACTGTACCACAGATGACATAAAATCCACTAGTTAATTGGTGGGATAGCTTTTTGTCACTTCTTCACTGTTAAGAATAATACTCTGTTGACGTTCATGCTTGGGTGTTTTATAGAAGAAGTTCTCCTGGGATTTCTGGGTCACACGGTAGCTCCGTTTACTGCTTGAGGAAGTTCTCCTGGGATTTCTGGGTCACACGGTAGCTCCGTTTACTGCTTGAGGAAACGGCAGACTGCTTCTACAAGGAGCTCGAACCGTTCTGCGTCTCCTCCTTCACTTTAGCTTGCAGTTTTGAAACAGCTCATGAAGTGAACAACAAAAAGGCAGGCAAACGCCTGCCCTTCCCTGAGGGAATGCCCTGCCCAGCAGGTGCTGAGGCTGCTCCTGCCACCCCGAGGTGATCTTCATAAATCCCCGGAAGATGGACACTTGTCGCAAGAAGGAGGCTTGGTTGGTTCCCTTCCCACGCACTCCTGTGATCTCTGGGGTTCATCAGAGTTCTCCAGTGCTGACACGGCCTGCATGCATGTGACCGTGGGCACACTCATGCCACGATGCGTGTGGAGCCAGAGAGCATTTCTTTCTTTTTTAAACTGCCTTTTTGTTTAACCTTGTGTCCCCCATAGCATGCACCTGATCCCACTCAGTTCCCCATCCCTGCCTATCCGCCCTCTGCCCTTTAACTTCCCCACCCCCACAAAAATAGAACTTAAGAGAGAGAAAGAGAATAGGAAGGCCTCAGTCTCTTCATGGACGCTGGGCTGTGACACACTGAGTCACACAGTGAGCCCTTCTGTCCGTGTGTCTTGCGTGTGTTTGGGTCTGGTTTGGGCCTCTGGTTTCTGCCTCCCCATCAATTCTGCACTCACCGGGACTCTTGGACATCCTGCTGTTGCCCCGTGTTGTGGAGATCCTGCAGCTTTGGGTCTGCTCCAGCAGATCACAGATGGGTGGATGGTTCTGGGCCTGGGTGGATGCGGGGTTGGTTAGCTCACTGCTCTGCCCTGTCCTCACTGCCAGGGTGAGCGCTCCAGCATTGTCCTGGCTATTTGACCTCTTGCAGCCATGAGCTGGGGTGGGCCAGCTTTGCTGCTTTCAAGTCCTCAGGGTAGGCTCTCCCGCGCCTGCGCCAACAGGGCTGCCTCGGCAGGATGTAGTGGCCACTGTCCCCAGGGCTGCAGCAATGCGGGGTGGGGACAGCTCTCCCGCTCTCAGGACCTCAGGGCCAACCAGCCCACATCATGCCACAGGTAGTGAGGGCAGAGGGTGTCTCCCCATGACACACATGCCGCCATATGGCATGTGTGGTCTACATCTCCCAAGCGCACATCCCAGGGCCAGTCCACCCTGTCATTAGGGTCAGCTCAGATGAGGTACCAGGCCCACTTTCCTGAGTGCTGCAGCTGGTAGGTCAGCTCCCTCACTCGCCACAGGTGGTAGGAGTGAGGGACAAGACATCTTTCCCTTGCCCTCACCCCCACCAACAGGTGAGCTGCAGGGCCTGCTCTCCCAGTGCTGGAGTGGAAGGGGCAGGGGCAGCTCACACCTGCCTCAGGCATAGAGGGAGAGGGGTGGCGTGTCCCTCCTGCCCATGCCACCACATGCGAGATGAGGGGTCGAGCCAGATCTCTCACGTTCATGTTCTGGGGCCTGCTCCCACCCTGCCCCACCAGCAGGGTCAGCTCTGTTGTGCTGCCTGAGGACATACAGGGTGGTAAAGGGGAGGGTCAGCACCCTGGACAGCTGGAGGGGGCACGGGTGGGGGCATCTTTCCCTTGCCCCCCTGTTACACTGCAGATGAGAGAGGCGGTACCAGCTTTGCGTCTCCACCCCTCAGGACTGGCTCACCGGTGCCCCTGGAGAACCACAGTTCTGGAGTCGGGTGCCCCACTTTTCTGTGAGGCAGGGCCTCTCGTGTGCTGCAGACTGCGGTCTGTCTGTGTTTCCCTGTGTGCTGCAGACTGCGGTCTGTCTGTGTTTCCCTGTGTGCTGCAGACTGTGGTCTGTGTTTACCTGTGTGCTGCAGACTGTGGTCTGTGTTTCCCTGTGTGCTGCAGACTGTGTGTGGTCTGTCTGTGTTTCCCTGTGCGCTGCAGACTGCGGTCTGTGTTTCCCTGTGTGCTGCAGACTGCGGTCTGTGTTTCCCTGTGTGCTGCAGACTGTGGTCTGTGTTTACCTGTGTGCTGCAGACTGTGGTCTGTGTTTCCCTGTGTGCTGCAGACTGTGGTCTGTCTGTGTTTCCCTGTGTGCTGCAGACTGTGGTCTGTCTGTGTTTCCCTGTGTGCTGCAGACTGTGGTCTGTCTGTGTTTCCCTGTGTGCTGCAGACTGTGGTCTGTCTGTGTTTCCCTGTGTGCTGCAGACTGCGGTCTGTGTTTCTCCTGTGTGCTGCAGACTGCGGTCTGTGTTTCTCCTGTGCGCTGCAGACTGCGGTCTGTGTTTCTCCTGTGTGCTGCAGACTGCGGTCTGTCTGTGTTTCCCTGTGTGCTGCAGACTGCGGTCTGTCTGTGTTTCCCTGTGCACTGCAGACTGCGGTCTGTCTGTGTTTCCCTGTGTGCTGCAGACTGCGGTCTGTCTGTGTTTCCCTGTGTGCTGCAGACTGCGGTCTGTCTGTGTTTCCCTGTGTGCTGCAGACTGTGGTCTGTGTTTACCTGTGTGCTGCAGACTGTGGTCTGTGTTTCCCTGTGTGCTGCAGACTGTGGTCTGTCTGTGTTTCCCTGTGCGCTGCAGACTGCGGTCTGTCTGTGTTTCCCTGTGTGCTGCAGACTGTGGTCTGTGTTTCCCTGTGTGCTGCAGACTGTGGTCTGTGTTTACCTGTGTGCTGCAGACTGTGGTCTGTGTTTCCCTGTGTGCTGCAGACTGTGGTCTGTCTGTGTTTCCCTGTGTGCTGCAGACTGTGGTCTGTCTGTGTTTCCCTGTGTGCTGCAGACTGTGGTCTGTCTGTGTTTCCCTGTGTGCTGCAGACTGTGGTCTGTCTGTGTTTCCCTGTGTGCTGCAGACTGCGGTCTGTGTTTCTCCTGTGTGCTGCAGACTGCGGTCTGTGTTTCCCTGTGCGCTGCAGACTGCGGTCTGTGTTTCTCCTGTGTGCTGCAGACTGCGGTCTGTCTGTGTTTCCCTGTGTGCTGCAGACTGCGGTCTGTCTGTGTTTCCCTGTGCACTGCAGACTGCGGTCTGTCTGTGTTTCCCTGTGTGCTGCAGACTGCGGTCTGTCTGTGTTTCCCTGTGTGCTGTAGACTGCGGTCTGTCTGTGTTTCCCTGTGTGCTGCAGACTGCGGTCTGTCTGTGTTTCCCTGTGTGCTGCAGACTGCGGTCTGTGTTTCCCTGTGTGCTGCAGACTGCGGTCTGTGTTTCTCCTGTGTGCTGCAGACTGCAGTCTGTGTTTCCCTGTGTGCTGCAGACTGCGGTCTGTGTTTCTCCTGTGTGCTGCAGACTGCGGTCTGTCTGTGTTTCCCTGTGTGCTGCAGACTGCGGTCTGTCTGTGTTTCCCTGTGTGCTGCAGACTGCGGTCTAGCTTTCAGCCCACTCTCACTCCGCCTCCCATCCTGCCACAGGAGTTCAGGGATTTCAGAAGCCCACTACCGCCTTGGCTTTTACCTCAGGTTCTGGGAGTCAAACATAGGTCATCAGGCTTACACAGAATTGCTTTTATCCTTGGAGCTGTATCCCTGACCCCTGATAGAAAGGCTGATCCACGTTCAAGTTGTCTTGCCTGGTAGTATATCACGGGTCCTATTCTAGAGGGAAAAATCTACATTTATTCTGTCAGAGAAATAGGTGTCATGGAAAGAAATAATTGAGATATTAGGTGAAGAAGTGGCCTTTTCCGACTGTTCCCTCCTACACCGATTCTGGAGAGAGAAGGTAAAGCCTGTGTAACCTGGATGCTCTCTGTAGCTGTCGGGTTAAAGCCTCCTACTGACAGCTATTGACCATGTAAGTTGTTGTCCTGTGTGGAACAGGGAAGACACGGGAAGGGATGTGGGGGTGAAAGTCTGCTGCTTCATAACCATTGATCTCTCAGCCTTGGGATTTCAGGGGCCCAAGGCTCGACTCGGGGGACAGCTTCCATCAGTCCTGGGGTCTGTGCAGCAGAGGATGGATGTGCACTACTGGAAATATCTCCAGTGTCGGCTGTCGCCAGTCTACCAGGAAACTGTCCACTCTGCTAGGATCACCTCAGACACTGACTGGAAAGAGAAGTAATTCGTGTTCTCAGGAGCATTAGTCACGAGGAAGCAGTGTGATTTGTGATACCTAGAATTTTACATGGCAATTGCAAAAATTGGGTTCTTGGCGCACTATTTTCAAGTTTTGAGATGAGGGTCTGACAGACATATCTGTAGGTAACGTGCTTGCTGTGTGGACATGAGGGCCTGAGTCCTACCCCTAGTACCCTTGTCAAAAGTCAGGTGTAGTGTACCTGAGATCACAGTGCGAGGGATCCCTAGAGCTTGGTGGTCATCCCCCCTAGTCAAATCCGTGGGGTCCAGGTGCAGTGAGAGACCCTGTCTCAATAACAAAGGTGGAGAACACCTGAAGAAGACACCAGCACTGGTCTCTGACTTCTACACACATGCATACACGTGTACACACATCCATGCACACATGTGTGCCTGTGCAAGCAAACACACACACACACACACCCTTGAGATGAGCTGGATTCTTCATTGTGATATACAACAAAGCACCATTGTTAAGCCAGAGTTCATCCCTTCCCCAGACCCCATCTCTTCCCCTTTCTATCCCCCCTCCCATTCTCTCTCCCTCCCTACTCTCTTTCTCTTCTCCCGTTCACTATGTTCATTGATAAATTGTCGTTCTCCCAAAGGAATGATATATATAAAACCACCCAGCCCCGGATAGGAGCTCAGAAGGCATTTGAGTGATGAGTAAATGCCTGCTGATCACACAGGTCTGTAACTTCCTCCGGTGGAGGCCTCTTCCCTTTGGGGGTAGCCAGCTGTTAGAGTAGTCACACACTCACCCATTGTCTATAGTGAATCAGCAGAGAAGAAAGACTGACCCGAGCATGCCAGGGACCTATGCTGTAAATAGGACTGTAGCAAAGAGAGCCCAGGTCAGTAGCAGCTTATATTACATTGCTCAACCGGGCTAAACTGCCACCCAGGCAGCTCCTTTCAATGTGTGGTGTGTATGTAGCACATTGACCAGTGCAGTTCAGCCTGCCAACTGCTTACGGAGTACTTCATCAGTCAGCACACTGAGGCAAGCATATGCAGAACTCAGACTGTGGGCTGCGTGCTCAGATGTCCGGGCCTCTGGTACACCTCCATCGTCTACCAGCTGTGTAATTTTTGGCAGGCTGCTTAACCTTTTGGCCCTGAGTTTTTCATCTGTAGAAGAAGACAGCAGCACAGCGGACTTTGTGTTCACCCTGAAGCTAATACAGGTGGAGTTCCAGTTAGTAAGGCTACTTAGTGTGTGCTCGAAGCGTTCACACCAAGGAGCACCTTCTCCTGTGGAAGCAAAGCAGGATATAGTGGGGGAAGGCTTTGGTCTCTGGATTCAAATGCTGGTTTCATTCCCATGACTAAAAGTGCATATTAATTTCTCTAAAATTCTGAGCACATGGCCCCCACAATAGTCAGCCTTTCCAAGCGCCAGATTGTATCATAGTGGATGGGGCAGAGGGGAGTTGCTGAAGGTTGTTGAGCCAGTAGTTGATAAGAAACTGAAATGCATTGAGAAGTCAGGTGGAAAGCATTTTAACAGTTTATTAGTAGGAACCATGAACACTATGTGGGATATGCTATGAATTTTCTGCAAATCAGAAGGCGGGAAGGAGCAGGTAGAAGCCAGTCCATAATACTGTTTATGAAGGAGTTAGGGTTTCAGCTGAGCCCTATGTGAGCCAGAGAACAGATGACAGCAGGAAGAGTGGGACATCTGGGCTCCCTCCTCCAGCCAACCAGAACTCAAATTTCATTCTTAACTGTCACCTTTATTACAAAGGTAATGACACAGAAAAGTCATAGCTTTTAACTTCTACAAACCTGTTAAAATGCAGGTGCCCGAGGCCCATAAGCATACAGATAGGGCTGGGCAAAGGGCTGCTTCATCCCCTGAAATCTGTGTGACACATCTATCTCTAGGTCTTCCTGGCCCTCCCCATAGTCTGCAAATTCCAGTCAGGGTTCTAGATGCCCTCAGTGTCCGTGCTGTTTGAACAACTCTGGGAAGGAAGTACACACATGCATCCACCAATTAGAGCCCATTTGGTCTTTCTTTATTTTGTTTGAATTTTTTTCTCATTTTTAACTCATGTATTTGGGGGAACAGGTTTAATTTGTTTATTTTTGGTTCTAAACATAAGGTTTCCTGAAGCTTTAGTGGGGTCCTCCTGCCTCCACCCCCCAGTTCTGGGAGAGCAGGTACACACTGCTGTAGCTGGCTTTTACAGTGGTTTCTGACAAGCTGAACGCAGTCCACAGACGTATGGACCAAGGACTTTCCCTGCCTTTGTTGTCATCTCCCCAGCGCCTTGGCCATGCTTTATAGGGGGGAAAGCCTTACTAACCTGCATTGGGAGCTCTGCAACCCAGAGAGACCCGGCACCCCTAAGTGTGGTCTGAGGAATCATCTGCTCAGGGTTCTTTCTTCAGGCCTCATGGTAGGAAGTTAGGCAAAGTTTTGGAGGCCAGCTAATAGGTGTCTGACCAGGTCATCATCTAAGGGGTGCCTCCACATACTTTAGTCCTTCTAGAAGTCTCAGAGCCTGTAAGAGTGTGTTTCCTCCCCCATTGGCTTCCATCAGTTTCGTTCTTCTTTCCCTACAAACTGAAACTAGAATTATACAGTAGTGTTGGGGCGGAAGTGCGTTTCTAAAACAAGCTCAGGAAGTCACTTAATTAGCCCAGGAAAGGAACCGGGGGAAATCCATTCTCTCCAAACAATCTTGGATAACTGGGGGTTTCCTAATCTGTTTAGAGCGAGTACCCTGTCCCCCCCCCCCCAGAGCTCTGTGCTTGCGGAGCTGGTTCACAAGGAAGCGCCCCTGCGTCCACACACACACTCATCACCGAGGCCCACAATTCCATCTCTCTTTTCTCCCACTGTGGTGTACTTTACAGACTCAGCCAGATTTCCCCCATGTATTCATTATTGGTGGTTTCCATGGAGTGGGGCCATGACATAACAGGCGTGGGTCTGTAGTCTGTGGATGTTGAAAAAAAATCAGCAGGATGGGAACTTCGAAAGTTGCAGCAGAGGAAGCAGACGGCTTTCTGACGTGTTTATAGGAAAAGGAAAACTTCTAGAGTATAGAAAAGAAAAGCAAGGCAGTCAGTCTGCAGCAGGAAGGAAGGATCTGCAGGGAGCTCAGAAGCAGTGGAAAGAATTTAAAAGCACACAGCTGATCGGCCAAACTAGGCATGGCAGCTCGTGCTGCTCATCCCAGGATTTGCAATGCTGAAGCAGGAAGAGCTCAGATCTTATGAGACCCTCTCTCAAAAAGATAAAAAGCAAAAATGAACACATTTGCAAAATGGACGACCTTAGTAAAGACTAGTTCTCGGCATCCTCCAGGGGCGTGCCACTTGGTACGTGGTGATAAGATGGGTTGGTGCGTGCATGGATGTGTGTACGTAAGGGTGGGTACATGGGTGAGTGCATGGGTGTGTAATGCAAATCTCTTGTGTGTAGTTTAAAACAAGACCTTGAGAAAGTCCATAAAGCCTGAAACTGCATGTGAGAAGGGACTGAATAGGGCCCTTTTCGTTGTGGGGAGAGTTCAGAACACCCTTCATCAGCATGGCTTCATCCCTCCAAAGGTGAAGGACCTCTGTTTCAAACCAGTCCTGGAATTGCATAAGAAGCAGTGTGTACTCATTCCCCAGACTAGGCTCCACACGCTCCAGTACACGGCGTGTCCACCCCCTGCCCTGCCATGACCTCATCCCCCCCCTCTCTCTCTCCCCTTGCAGTTCACCCATCTCAGGAGCCTGGCTGGTTGGAGGGGACTCTGAATGGAAAGACTGGCCTCATCCCAGAGAACTACGTGGAGTTCCTCTAACCTGGAGCCCAGGCAGTCCTGCTGAGCTTCCCGTGGTCTCCATGACAACTGCTGATTCTGGTGTCCTGGCCACTTTTCATTGCCACTGAGAAAGCAGGGAGCCTGACTGCTGCTCCCTGCCAACACGAATGCGTTGGGAACTTGTGTCACATCTCTCCATGATGGTCTCAGCTGACAGCACACAGCCAGCGGTGCTGCAAGGACAGAGAGTCATGGGCAGAGGAGGCCGCCTCATTTCAGTGACCCCTGGAAGCCCCGCAGAGCTGCTTTCTCACGCGGGCCCTGCACAGGGAGCCCTGGTTTCGTTTCAACAGTCATCCAAACCCACAGGCTTCTGGAAGACGAAACAGGATGAGAATAGTCCTACAGAGGGTGCAGCATTGCTGAGCTGGGGGTGCAGCATTGCTGAGCTGGACAAGGCAAGGCAAAGGAACTAAGATGCAGGCTGCCTCTACTACTGCTGTTTGCAGGGGGCGTGCTTCCTCTCTCCTTCCTTCTCCCAGAGACACAGGGCTGCAGGCAGCTGGGCCTGGCGGCAAGCGCAGGGGATGGGGGGGGGGGTGCCGCGCTGTTTACATAAGGTCCAATCTCTCACCATCTCTCCAGCAGCTGTTGGCCTATAATCAGCAGCGTTCAGTCCAGTCCTCTCATGCAAAGAAGCACATGCCCCTCACGTTCTCTGCCACTGAAGGCTTCCATCACTGCCATCACCTAGTAACCATAGCAACCCAACCTACTCTAAAACTAAGCCAAAAATAGTACTCCTCTTTGTATGACACCCCCCTCCATCAGTTCTGGTGGGTTTTTTAATGGTCTTCCAACAATCTGAAGCAAGGGATTAGACCATTAGGGTGGTCTGTCTGAGGCAGACAGGGTAACAGCTAGGGACTGCTCCTTTTCTGGTATATGTCAGCATCATCAGGATAGGTTTGGAGCAAACTCTAGGAACCTGTTGAGATTAAACCCAGACACAATCAGTACTTCTGTTCTTCATGCAATGAGTTCTTGCTTCAGAGGGCCAGATGCTACCTCCCTCTGGGCTAGTGATTGGCGGGTCCCCTCTGGTCCCCACTCTCCCTGCTGCCTGTCTTTGCCCTTGCCAATGACCCCAAACAGCTCCCTAGAATGGTTTTGCTACTGAGGTCCTGTAGAGTTGAGAGATGATTATTGGGCCAAATCTGTAGCCTGAATTTTAAAAGGACATCTGTATTCACTGCCACCAGAGAAAGAGGGGATCATTAACTAGTTGTCCAGGCATGAGGCTATTATAGACAACTCGGAATCTGGAAGACACCAGATGATGAGGCCTGGAGGCTAGGGAGGGTGCCTTCCTTCTAGGAGAGGGAATTCCCGATTAAAAGGCACTGGGTTTCACTGTTATGCATGGGAGACCACCTGGTCATCTCAACGTCATGTGACCTCCAAAGAACGGAATCATGGTATCTTCACATGTACATGCCCTTACACTAGAGGGCCTCTGGACAGACACGCTGCCACGTTCTCCAGGAGCCCCTGGGATGGCAGTGTTGCTCCAGCGTGTCTTTGGTTCTGGAATTCCCTTAGGGTTCTTTAATGAAGAAAAGAAAAACTTGAATTGTGTTGAATTACTGTATCTTTTGCTTTTTTTTAAGATAAATGTGTAAATAGAATGATTTGGAATATTATATGGTAAAGTTTTATATTTGATATTCTTTAAGCTAGTTGCTCCATACCTTTAGTCTTTGATTGCTGAACAAATGTGTTTAAAAGGGTGCAAGAGAGGCAGGGTTGATGAGTCATAGTCATGTCCCCTCTCTGGCCCGTGAAAGAATGTTTCCTTATGGTTCCTGTCGGTAAGCCTGAAAAGTTCATTGTATTCAGTTTTCTGTATCTACGTGTGATTTCCAGGCTTCAGAGTTTAAAGGCTTTTCAGGTAATGAATTTTCAAAGAACTCCCATCTAACAGTAAACTCAGGGTTTAAGTAGGTGGGGCAAGGGGTGACATGTTTATTTGTTTTTGTTTGTTCTTCTCAGGTGTATTTCTTGGTACCCCAGGATGTCCAGACAGAAGGAGATGAGACAATTACTCCTTTTCTTCCACATCTCCTAAGATTTTATAAATATAGCCTAGCTGGTATGTAACTGTGTCTGTCAGTTCTAAGAACAAGAGACCCAGCTGCTACGATTTTTAGTTGGCGGTGTGCTTTTACTCTCTTTCTGTAGGTATGTTTCTGCACTGCTGTTTCTCCTCCAGATTCCCTACAGCTCCAAATTAATTCCCCCAGAGGGCTGTAAGCTGCTACATCTACTGTAGTCCCACTACAGCTGTTAGAGTTTACCAGCTAAAGGATTGTACTGTTGTCACCAGGAACTCAGCCAGGAATAAGGGCAACTCTACCTTCAGTCAGAGAGCCAGACTGAGCCGAGCAAGGCAGACACAGGACTCAACCGCCATTGAAGCTGGGCATGAGGGCTCCTGCATGCAGGCTTAGCACTTGGAAGGCAGAGGCAGGAGGGCTGCCGAAGGCCTAAGGCAGACAGGTTTTGGGGTGGGGAGGAGGACCGAAAACTAAAGAAAGAAAGGAAATAGACTCAGGTCCCTAACCTATTCCCTGTGAGCTTGAGAACCAATTAAAAGAGCCCAGTATGATACTCTGATGATTTAAATGGTCACCTGCCCTGTCATAAGTGAGGTGTTCTTGTAGTCAGGTCCCAGCATGACTGCTTGGATGCACATCCTCTCTGCTGAGCTGGCCGTGGTTTGAAGCCTCTCTCTTAGGCTGACCTCCTTCCAGCTTCCCTGAGGCCATGTGTGGCCTATGACAGATGGTCACTCTGTTTCCCTCTGTCCAGCTAGGCCTCCCTCCTCATCATCAGCTAACAAACTGGGGAGGTGAATAGGAGCCAAGTGAACTGGAATATTAAAAATGAAACATGCCCTTTCTGCTCTCTGAACTCCCCCTCAACTCCCGTGGGTAAGGATGACTGGTGTAAAACGTGGGGAGTGGGTTATCCAAATGGAGGTCCATTGATCGAATTCCCAAAGATTCCCCAAGCATTGAGTTTCTCTTCTAGTCCCTGTGATCAGCTGGTTATGACCTGAACTGGGTGTTTTTATGATGATTGGCCCACTCCACCTTGAGATACAGAGTTCTATAACTGAATAGTGTCATGCATGCCTTGAGAAGATAGCTGGTTCCAAATCCCTGTCCCTAAGCAAGGAAAACCTGGACTTGCTGAAGATTAGATTCTCCCCCAGTTTTCAAGATCATTGTATAGCAACGAACTCGATTTAGTGGACCCCTCAGGAGCCTATCAGTACTGGAGCCAGTTCTTAGTTTTTCTAAAGCCAGTTGTGGAGTCTTGTAGGTGCTTTCTTTGCAGTGAAGAAAAGAGAAAGTTAGCATAAGTAATTGGAGACCAGCACTGTGGCAATGAGCCATGCTGGTTTCTTGGGAATTGCAGGCACACACCCACAACTCTCTACAGGAGCGTGCCACACCTGGATCTCAGAGAAATCCCTCCTGGAAACGGTAACACCAATCATACCAAAACTGTTACTCTGTCTTAGAGGTTCCAGAAGTGTCCATGATTGAGGCATGAGGAAATAGACTAAAGATGATGTGATTGTGTATTCATGGCTGGCTGTTGACACCTGTCATCCTCTGGTACCTGCTTTCAGAGACAAAGCTACTCTCCCAGCTTCATAGCCATGGAGCTCCCAGGTGACCACCCTGGCACCCCACATTTGCTCCGTCACCCATTGTTCCTCATAGATACCTGACTTTCGAAGGAATGTCCTGGGTGTCTGTGGAGGGAGTTATCCGCCACCTCTGACAAACTTGACAGTGATCATGTATGTAGACAGCCCTGCCCCTTAGCCCTTAGTCAGCCAGGTGCCCTTCACACCCCACAGTGGTGTTTGAGAAATGCCTTTTGTGCTCAAATATTTCTGAAGCCATGCTGATCTAGTGGCTGTCTGTGAGGATAGCATCAAACTGACAACAGCAAGAGAGCAGTGAGCCCCACACATTCCTCAACACTCCCGAGACAAGACTCCAACAAGTAATAATTAGCTCTCTTCCTCTTGCCCCCACAGTACTATATAACTTAGAGTTTCCCAAAGCAGACAACGATTCCAGATGTCACTCAGAGGCAGCCTTGTGTTCGTGGGAAGAAAAGCATAGATATAAAAATGCCAGGATCAGAAAGAAAAAAGTGAGCCATACCGAGAAGCCCCTGATCTTTATAGAGTGCTAAGTTCTGCTCTTACAGGAGCAGGGGGCAGGGGTAGAAATGGACTATGGCAGGAAAAAATTCACCACTAATAATTTTTCACAAGTCTGTAGGACACACAATGAAAATACCCTTCATGGTGGAATGTTTTAGACAGCAAGAACCGAGCGTAGTCCTAACCCATGGAAGGTCAGTTGAGAACTGTTGTGTCAGAATTAGTGTAGTTGGTGGGGTTCAGCCAGGCTGGGACATTCTGTACCATCCCACATCCACAGTTCCCATAGGCTTCTGAGTAACAGTCACCAGCGGCGTTCCTCAGGGTCAAGATGCCAGGACCAGCATAGTGTCTGTGAAAACATCCATCTGGTGATTACAAAAGTTGTGTGTGCATGTGTTCCTGTGTGTGTCATGTATGGCACATACCTACATGTGTAAAGATATAGCCTAATGATGGACACACATGAGCTTACACTTCCAAAACTTTTCCCGCTTTGGAGATTTGGAAGTAGGGTCTCAGAGGCATGCAAGGCTGTTGATTCCCATTCAAAAGATCAAAGATGCAAGTGAGTACCATCCAAAGCCTGCATTCACATTTATCACGTAGTCATCTGCGGCTGTGTTCCTTGTGACTTATTAAAAGTCGTGTCAAAAACTCAAACCCAGTAGCTAATGCTAGGCTAGTGTTCAAAAGCACTCTAAAAGACATTTACTCCTTATTTTGGGAAATAAACTATTTGCATGTTTAATTCATCTTTTAGGCTACCTTTGAGTATACTGTACAGTGCTGTGTGATATAATATCAATAAATTACTTATAAATGGCACTTTAATATTTTCTTTTGAAAAATCATAAATAATGCACTGTTGTAAATTTCAGTATTGAATATTGACTGGTGCATAGAATCAAATTCTGTAATTAAATAGTAACCTGCAAATAGGATAGAACATTTTTCCTGTTATAAAAAAAAAACAGTTTGCCATGTTCAGGCTTTTAAAAAATGTGTTTCTGTGCCACTGTGTGTATCTATGAAGAAAATACAATTTTTGTCAAGCACCTCTGAAACTTGTCTTTTTTATGTTTGGTTTGTGTACGTGGCAATCCCTATAAAGTAGAAGTATAACTTTTGAATTAAATGATTTTTCCATTTGATGGTGTGCTCATATCTTGAATTTCTGGTCAATTTCGATTCAACATATCTTAATTTCTTCTAATCTGCATTTGTACAGTGATCAAAGATCACAGTATAGGCCCTTACAGTTCTGAACATCAACTAGAGGGCTGGGTTTTTGTTCTTGTTGTTTCTTTCCTTTTCTTTTCTTTTTATGACCTGGAAGTGTCTCTGTGGTCTATTTATCAACAAGTCAAATGCTGTTATACTTGACTCGGCTACTCAGACCTCTCACACAGTTAAGTCTCACATTGTCATAGCCCATATAAAACTAATGATCTTATCTGCTGGAACACACCATAGGCTTGAGCCTTCCACGGAGTGCTCCTGCTTCTCCAGCCTTATAGTAATGCCCTGTGTCGTTGCTCAGGACCCGGGGTTACAGTGAACTTCTAGTCCTAGCTTAAGTACCAGCTCAAGTACCAAGAACTCATAGATGCCTCTGAAGGAAGGGGACCTGGGAGCCGGGGTAAAGCTTCCCACCACATGCTTGCCCGACATGGAGAAGGAGGGGGAGCTGGGGAAGCTCCTTTGGAGCCTGGATTTATGGAGGAAGCTATTTGAATGTGTGGGTTGCATGTGAGCAGTCTCTGTCACCCTCCTCTGCCAGGCTTGGCCTTGGTTGAACTCTGGGAACAGCACAAATAACCCACACCTGTTGTCCTCGCCGGGTCTGCAGGTCCTCTCGAATCACTCAGCCCTTGAAGCCTACACATGTGACATGTTTGGTTCTGAGCTGAGACTTTCTGAGCTCAAAAGCAGCGTGGGGAAGAATGGATTTATATGGTGTATGTGTCTCCATCACAGCAGGTCATTGAGGGAAGCCAGATCAGGAACTCAGTCAAGTAGGTGAAGAGGCAGAGACCATGGAGGAATGCTGCCTATCAGCTCTCTCCAGCTTTCCTAGCTACTAACACAGCTCTGCCTAGGATTAGCACCACACACAATGGGCTAACTTCCCCTTCATTAGTTAGCAATTAAGAAAATGCCCCCACTGGCATGCCCATGGGCCAGTCCATTGAAGGCAATGCCTCCATTGAACTTTCCTCTTCCCCAGGATTCTCTTGTCTCAAGTTGACTAGCCAAGCACATACAAGTCTGACTCTGTCGCCAAGAGAGTGACATGTGTGTGTCTCTTTCTGTCCTGTCTAGCCTTGTCCTTCCCAACAGGCTTCCCAGTCACTCTGATTTTTGTGTCATTACAATGTGAAAGGTTTTCATTTTTGGTTTGCTTGTAGTAGCCCCTGGAGCAGAACTCAAATGGTGTTGTGCCCAGTGGCTTGCGATCATGTTAGTTCTGGCAGCATGGTAGGTTGGTTGTTAGAGCCTGTGGTTAGAAGTAGACTTGATTGACAACTGAAACTACGTGACTGTTCGTGGGTGTGAAGAAATACTTTCTCAGGCCCCAAACAAGTGCCAGCTCTCGAGAATTATGGCATGTCTTTCTTCTTTCCTCAGATCTGTCTTGGACCTCACGCAGATGCCACACATCTCTTGCTGCTTTCTAAGTTAAGCTGCGACTAATTAGCTGTGCTGAACTAGCCATTGTTGACTGAGTCTGGCCTGCTCAGTGGCAAGGATTCACTCTAACCAAGGCAGTAACTGGTGGGTGAGGCCCCTGGTCTGGGAACACTGTCCTAGGGGAAGGGAAGCATATACCTAGGTACCAGAGTATAGCCCTGGGATGCTCAGCCAGCATCAGACATTTGGGGACCATAGCAGGACGGTTTTCCATTGAAATGATCAAGAACATGTCTCACAGCAGTTGGCTGTCACACTACATAGCTCTCCAGTCTTTTTATGTAATTGACCCCAGGAGCTTGGCCACAGCCTCCTCTAGTGAGGCCCAGCTTGCTATAATACTCCTTCCTGAGCCCATCCAGCTATCCAGTAAAGATTTGAATTCATGGAGTTCTTTCTGAAGGCATCAACTCACATCTTACCATGTCCTGTGCCCACGCTGAAGTTCAAATAAAGTTCTGGCACCATGGCCTGATGTCCCTTTTGCATTTATTAATTTAAGTATAGGGTAAGTGACCCTTGACAAAATGCTGTATTTGCTCATAGGCTCAGAGTAAAGACTTTTCTTTCTGCCCTCCACTCAGGCACATGGCCTCCCCAGCTGCTGGTCCTCTCAACTAGTGCTTAGCACAACAAACCATCTGGATAACCCAATGGCCAAGAGTCAAAAGCCCCTTCACTGTCATCTGGGTTGCCGGTGACTCATGCTGATTGAGGCCCCTTCAACAAAACTCAGAATCACCCAAACATTAAAAGCACACTCCTTCCTAAGGGCCCATCGAGGAAATTCCACGCGGCCCCTTGGGACCTGGTCTGGTATCTATCACTCTCACTAAGGGAATTCTTTGATTCTGACTGAAGTTTCCCATGGTGCAGCTGGAGTCCATTTCCGTCCTGGCTTTCGTCTGATGAAGAATTAACTGGTTACCACCCTTCTGCAGAGCCTACGATATTTATGCTTCCACTCGGTGGTTTCCTCTTGACCGAGCCACATGCCAGGCGCTGCTAACGTTGCGAAAGGAGCACACCTCTGACTTTATGGAGCTCACGCAGGCTTCGCGGAGAAGCTATGGGAGACAGAACCAGAGGTCACCTGGAAGAGGTGACCTTCAAGATGGACCTTGGTAGCCGGAAAGCATGAGCCACTTAGGTACATGGGAAAGTGTCCCAGCCCTCCCACGCAGAACGGCAGTGAGGGTCGGGAATGGGGTGGCCTCGGTGTTACTGCGCCATGGGGAGATAGGCCTCTCTGGAGGGTGCAGACGGTTCACCCTCACCTGTTCCCGCCCTAGCTTTGGGCTTCCGTTTCATCCTCAACTGACAAAATTCTTTCTCACTGGGCACGTTCAGCACCTTGCTAGATCCCCTTCCTAAACGCTCAAGACGCAAAGCACAATAATTGTCTGTCTAATAGGTAATAGAACTGTTCGTGGAGGTCACACAAGCTAGAACGAGGAGAACTGACTATCCCAGTGTAAAGTCTGTCTAGTTCTGCAATCCTTTGAAAGCCTTTATAGAAACCCTTCATAGGTGATCATGTCTGCGTGCACAGCAGTCATGTCCCACGCAGGACTGCTCCCAGGTTTGGTAGAGGGCTATCCTTCCCTGGTTTTGCTTAGGCTGTCTCTCCCGACCCCCATTTCTGTCTTCCTGGTCCCTGTGTGTGCTGTCAACAGCCTCCTCTTGGCCTTCAGAGTCAAGAGCCTGCCAGAGAGCACCGCTTCTGGGATGCTCAGCTTTGGACCCACAGAGGCAGGGCGAGAGCCGGGCACGTGTGAGTGACAGCCCTCTCTCCTCTTGGAGCCTCTTGTTCTCGCATCTCGGGCTAACAGCTCCTCAGTGGTTGAGTTTCCTGCACAAACTCTTGGTTTCCAGATCAGCCCCCACCCCAGATTCCAGCTGTAAGCGTTGGCGGGCCCACACCACCTTCGAGCCTGCACTGTGGAGCATCTACAGAGGCCCAGGCATGCTTGCCTGACTGGAAATATGGCATGTGAATTTTTAAAAAAAATATTATGAAAACATTTTCCCCCACCTGGACCCAGCTGCTGAGGAAAGAACTTCAGACCAGGGAAACCCCGTGGGTTTGTGTCTTCTCGCAGAAGTGTCTCCAGTCTGATTACCCCGTGCTCCGTATGAGGCCATTGTGCGGCTTTAGTGGAAAAGTCAGACCAAGAGGGGGAGAGGGGAGCCCACCATGGATGACCCGGGCACAGAGAATTCCTGACTCGTACTGGGTTTCTCTCCTAGAGTGGAAAGCTAGTCCTCCCTGGGCCGACCTCAGGTGCGGGCCGACCTCCAGGACTCAGAGGACAGAGCCGTTCTGGGTTACAGAGCACACTCGCGCCCGCTAGACCTCACACTGACTCTTCCTCGAGTCCACCTATTTAATTCTCAAAGCAAACCCATGAAACGGGTGCCTGCTGTTATCCCATCATGCCTGTGAGGAAGTCAAATACTAGATTAGGCAGCACGTTCCAAGTGACGGAGTTAATCAAAGCAGAGCTAACCCCGGCTCACCCCAGCGTTTACACATCCAGAACTGTCTCACTGGGGAAGGCCCCCAGGCTTCACCCCATTACGCCCTCCATTCCCCCACCCTAAGGGAATAGCTGTTGTTCTTATCTGCGGACAGCCAGCACGCTTTCTGCTAGTAAGAGCGCCTCACTTTTGCCCCTTACCCTCTGGTCCCTAGGGTTTGTGTGGCCTTGCGTCAACCCAGCGTCCAGTGGTGACCATGTGTTCTGGGGTGAGATCAAGCGTTTGACTGCTTCAGGAATGAACCCAGGTCTACAGGGCCACAGCTTTGACCCGGAGCAAGGTACGCAAGCCCAGCGTGGGACAGCATCAGCTGTGCTGTGACACACTCGGCGGCTCTCTGCACCAGTTCTTCCTGCCGCGTCTGTTATCTGAAGGCCCAGCGTGAGGCCCGTCCCTGCTTGTGAGGAGTGAAGGGTGCATCTGCTGGAAAACTTGCCTCAGATAGCAAACGGAAACCTGTGTTTGTTGGAACATAAAGTGAGCAAACCCTGTCCTGGTTTGAGCAACCCTGGAATTGGCTCACACAAAGAGAAGCCCCATGTCCGCGTGCCGCAAGCCGGGCTTATTTTTACAGTTCTGACATTTGTTCTCCTTTCTGAGCCAGGAGAGGACATGACTAGATCTCCTAAGGACAGGGAGGAATTCTGTGTGTCAGAGCCCTCTAAAGAAGATTTTCCCAGCCCCGGCTGATCGGCCCTGCAGTGGTACATCAGTGTCAAGCTGGCTTCACCCCAGAGTTCTCATCTCTAAGCAGTAAATCATGTCTAACCAGGAGATGGAACTGGGTGCCCTAGAGCTCTCAGAGAACCGAGCACGCCCTGAGGCCACACCTAGACCTGCTCAGCAGACCCATGCACACAGGTCTGAGAAACTCCAGACACCCAGTTCAGACCTTCACCTCTCCTTGGGTGGGGCAGCA